GACACAGTAGAATGGCCCCATAGGGTTTCCAAGGAGCGGCTGGTGGATTCAAACTGCTGACCTTGTATAGCTTACTGTGTATCAATTACAACTTAATAAAGCTTTTTCTAAAAAACTCATTGTACTATACACTTAAATCTGTGCATTTCATTGTATGTAAATTATCTCAGTAAGTATTTTTTTTAGAAAAAGGAATCACTTCTACCTTGACCGGTTGTTGCTCAGTTGGCCCCAGGAGTCTCAAAATCCCAGCGACAGCCCACCAGGCAGTGCAGCTGTGGGCTGGTCCCTTCCCTCCCTGGGAAGCAGTGTCCTCCTTTGTCAAAAACCTGGCTGCTCTCAGATCCTCGCCAGCTCTGACATCTGTGGTTCTGTAAGTCTAAGGATGAAAGAAGAGTACCAGGCAAACAGCAACGGCAAAGGGTTAAACCAGACCAGATTTCCAGTCTAGACCCTGGGGCGCAGCATGAGCCACTTTAAATTCCATTCATCTATCCCTTTGTGTTTGCACAGCAAAGAATCTGTTGTTCTTAAAGTACTGATCTTGGAGCGGGGGCCAGGAGGCTGGGAGATGGCAAATATTGACGCTGACTGCCTGGGCTCTTGCTCCAGGCTGTGGCATTAAATCCCCTGCGCTGTCGAAACAAGCTGGAGGAGGGGCCTGCCTGGCTACCCTGGGCCCTGTGTCTTTCTGGTGCTGGCTTACAGAGTGCTGTTTGGGAGGTTGCTACGGCAACTGCTCCAATCTGAAAGGAAGAACCGACAAACAAGAAAAGAACAAACACCAGTTCTCCTGCCAACGCTACCTTCTGTTTACAGGCTGCCGCCCCCTGGCCTGGGATCTAGCTTTCCCATCTAGGGAGACCTGGCTGAGAAGAAGTGAGACACCAAGCGGGGGATGTGGTCACCTCTGGCTTTAGGCCTGTCAAGATTTGAATCCTGGCTCTGCTTTTAAAAGCTGTGTGATCTTAGGCAAGCTCTTTACGTCTCTATGCCTCAGTTTCCTCATTTGTAAAGTGCAGATAACCAAATCAGCATCCTGGAGTGATTGTGAGGATTACAGAAAATGATACCAGAGATGAGACATACAGAGGTTTGGAACAGTGCCTGACATGCACTAACTGCTCAATAAATACTGGCCGTTAATATTAATTAAAGCCCCTAGTATAGTGCTTGGAGTTCCTGGATGGCGCGAACGGTTAAGTGCTCAGCTACTAGCTGAAAGGTTGGCAGTGGGAACCTACCCAGAGGCGCTTCGGAAGACAGTCCTGGCGATCTGCTTCTGAAAGGTCATAGGCTTGAAAACCCTATGGAGCAGCTCTACTCTGCACACACGGGGTCGCCGTGCGTCGGAATCGACTCTGTGGCAACTAACAACAGCACAGTGCTTGTCGCTTCTCTTTCTGCTGCATGAGTCTGTACTGTTTCCAAATGGTGTTTACATTCAGGATCCCACTTTTTCCTCTTAGTAAGACTGCAAGATAGTCTGGTGACATATCCTTATTCCTGATGTTCAGATGAGGAGAGCCTTCTTTTACGACCCTCCTCAGTAGGAGGAATCAGATGTGTACCTCCTGCTGAACACCTCTGCCAGCAACCCACTACCTCCAAATCAAGTTCACTCTCTGCAGCCCAGACCCAAGACCTCTCCTCATACTCCAATCACACTGGACTACTTCATGCTCCCTCAGTTGCCGGGCCCCCAAGCAGTGCTGTACTCATGCATCTCTTCAACCTGGAATGCCCTTTCCCTGCTTCCCACCTGGCTGTTCCTAATCCTCCTCCAAGGCCCTGCTCGGGTGTCACCTCCACTATGAAGCCTTCCCAGACCTCCCGAGACATAGCATAATACAGTGAACTATTGTGGCTAAGTGCCTAGACTTCACAGTCAGTACACCAGACATACGCCCTTCAACAAGCTGCTTCTAAACCTCAGCATAAAGACGGTTGTGAAGACTAGACAGTTGTGAGATTACTACGTTCTGGTGCCTGGTACATAGTAAGTGTTCAATAATGCTAACTGCGTGCCCCTACCAAAACCCATTGCCGTCGGGTCGATTCTGACACATAGAGACCCTAGAGGACAGAGTAGAACTGCCCCATAGGATTTCCAAGGAGCAGCTGGTGGATTTGAACTGCCAAGCGTTTCGTTAGCAGCCGTAGCTCTTAACCACTGTGCCACCAGGGCTCCGTGTGCACCTGAATACCTGGTTTTTAGTCCTTGCTTTGCTACTGACCCAGATAACTTTGTCTTAGCCTCAGTTTCCCCATCCTGAAAAATGAAGCTTTTTAACCCCCAGGGGCCTCTGGATGGGATTGGTTTAGGGGAAGGGTGGTAAAATTAATGCAACCTGTGGTATTGGTGCCTCTGGGCGTTTTTCTGAGAACAGCTGCAGGACACGGAAGAAGCCCAGGACTGGGTGATCGCTGAGGATCCACCTACCTCTCTTCCACTGGGCCCAACCGCAGCACCACCAGCTCCTGCCGAGAACTGGGTGCTTTCCAGACACCTGAACCATGGGGCTGACTTGGTCTGAGCAAACATAGGCTCAGGTTCACCGTCTGGCCCAGCTTCCCATAGGTTCTCCCCAGCAATGCTGTCTCAACAACTGATGCTCAGGGCTTCCTGGATTCAGGAACCCATTGGCATTAGAGCACTGGAGTGAGCCTCTGGAGCTTTACTTGTTCCTCAGGGACCAATTCGACCCTCTCTTCCCCTTGAGACTGGCATCCCATCGGAGAGAGCATCAGCCAGGAGAGGCTTCCAGGAGCCCCTTCCCAGGCATCCTGGACTCCTCGGTCTTACTCAGCCTCCACCCTGCCCCCAGTAGGCCCTGAGGCCCATGGCTTCTACCTGTAAATAGCCCTAACCACCCCTCTTCTCTGCCCATCTGGTCTGAGACCTTGGCATTTCTTTCTTGGACTCTCGCAATTAAAGGTCATCGAAGCCCCAGACAGTTCTTGCTTATTACTCCTTGATGCTACCCACTGCCTTTGGGATAAAGTGTGGCACATTATGCGCTTCAAGATCCAGCCCTGCTTACCTCTCTGGCCCCGCCTCCTACTGTCTCCTTCCCTCCACCCCATGCTTAGGCCACTCTGGGCTGCTGGGCATTCCCTGGCTGTGCTGTTCAGTACACGTTTGTTTACGTGGACCCCTCAGCCTGGAATGTGCTTCTCCTCCGTCTCTACCCCTGGAATTCTCCTAGCCCTTTTGAGTCCAACTCAAATGCCTCTCTTTCTGGGAAGGAAGCCTCCTCTGGTTCAGTCATTAGAACTAAAGATGACTCGCTTGTGCTGCAGTTGAAGAGAAATTCAGCAAAAGATGCCGGAGCCGAGGGTACCCTGGGGAGCAGCAGGGTGAGAAACATGATTGTGTCTTGGCTTCTGGAGACTCCTTCTTGGTATCCTCAGCCCTGCATTTCCTGCTGTCCAACCGATCTCACCATGGTGTGAGGGTGTCTCCTCCAAGACCCCAAGCTCTGTGTCCTGGGATCTGGGCATCTCCACTTCTGGGTGCCCGGAACCCGACACACAGCTTGGCCCAGAGCAGGTTCTCAGAGACTGCTTGATGAGCGAATGAATGAATGATTGAATGAGGTTGTGAATGAGCCAGAGCTCACCAGTCTCTCAGATGCCCATTTTCAGTTCAAAGCTCACAAGAGACTGATACATGTAACCGATTTTATTAATTTCAGACGTTGTTGTGTACTACCAAGTAGATTCCGACTCATAGCGACCCTGTGTGACAGAGTAGAACTGCCCCATAGAGTTTCCTAGGCTGTAATCTTTACAGGAGCAGGTCTCCAGGTCTTTCTCCCACGTAGTGGCTGGGTGGGTTCGAACCGCCAACTTTTATTTAGCAGCTGAGTTCTAAACTGTTGCGCCACCAGAGCTCCTTAATTTCAGATTTGGGGTGGGGGGAACTGTGTCTCCCTCAACGGGAACCTTCTCACTGGCAGATTCCAAGTCTTTTTCAGAATAAGGGTGGGGCACTTTCTGACCTTCAAGTGAACCTTTTTTTAATATCTCGCGTGGACTCCGCCCTGGCCAAGGTATCATCACTCTGGTAGCAGGAAAGGCTCTGAGCTGGGACTCCATAGTTTGAGTCCCAGTTCCAGCAAGGACTTTGCTTGTGATCCTGAGCAAGCCATCGCCCACCCCACCCCACCCCACCCCCACTTGGGCCTCAGTTTTCTCATCTATTTAATGGCGATATCCATCCTTGCCTGCCTGAATGTTGTGAAGCTGGAAGGGTGTGCCAAGAAACAGCTCATTCACTCAGGCTCCAGGACCAAAATATGATCCCGGCTTCCAGAATCTGGGCAGCTGGTCATGGGCAGGAGCAGGGCTGGGAGGTGGAGGGTGGGGAGGATGGAGAATGGGACAGAGGGGCAGTGAGGATCTCAGAGCCTCCTGGGATGGCTTCCCACTGGCCAAATGACAAATACCCTGTCTCGTGAGTAATCTCACATGATATATCAGTAGGGCCTGCTAGGATTACTGAGTTGAGAAAAATACTAAGGCTGCAGCCACGCCTAGCATGATTGATTAGCAATGTCTGCCTTAGGTACTAAAGGGGCAAAAAGTGACACACGTTTCACATGGGCGCCATCCAAAAGGGCTAAACTCCTCTGCTTGGCGTTTAAACCCCAGACCTGTCTGCTCTCCAAGGGGTAAAAAATTCGTGACCTGCATGTCCTGGAGCAGAGGGAGCGGATTTCCTCTGTGTAGAAGCAGCTCTAAAATCACGGAAGTCTTCATCTTTGTTGGGAGCTGCCTAACATGGTGGTGAGCTCCCTGGTGCTGCAGGTATTCAATCAGAGCCTGAACAACTTGAAAGCAGGAGAGGTAATTTCTATTTAAAGAAGGTACACAGATCGCACTGCATGATCTCAAAGGCTCCTTCCTGCCCTCATGTTCTAGGATTCGATGCACATGTGAAGGCTTCTCCATGTCATTCCATCCAACCTCCTCCTACTCTAGCCTGGGGGCCCCACTCAGGGTCCAGGGCAGGAATACTCATCGGACCAGTCGGAGCAGTGCTGCACGTGGTCTCGGCAGAGACTCCTTGGGATGCAGTCGCAATACTTGAAGACAGTTGGGGTGCAGCGCCACCACCCGGGACCACAGGATGGGCACATGGTCACTGGGGAAACAGGAGTTGGCTGGTGTGTCCTGGAATGCCCTGTTCCCCAGGGCACTGCCTAGCTCTGAACCTGCCACAGAGCCTCATAGCCCCACCCCGTCTGATTTGGGGTTGACTGTATTCCTTATTTCCCTACAGCAGAAAGAATCTAGTCTTCCTAACTCACAGGCTGTGTAATCTTGGACAAGTTGCTCACCCTGTCTGAGCCTCCATTTCCTCATCTGCTCAAGGTTGTTACTAAGCAAAGGAAGACAGGCAAAGTGCTAGACACATGGTGAAGGCTCAGATATTCATGTGTGCTGTTATGGATTGAATTGTGTCCTCCAAAAATGTGTCATCTTGGCTAAGCCATGATTCCCAGCATTGTGTGGTTGTTCACCATTTTGTCACCTGATGTGATTATCCTATGTGTTGTAAATCCTAAACTCTATGATGTCAATGAGGCAGGATTAGAGAAGTTATGTTAATGAGGCAGGACTCAATCTATAGAATTAGGTTGCGTCCTGAGTCAATCTCTTTTGAGATATAAAAGAAAGGGACCTCCTACCACTAAGAAAGCAGAGCAGGGAGGGAGTGTGTCCTTTGGACCCCGGGTCCCTGTGATGAGAAGCTCCTAGACCAGGGGAAGATTGATGACAAGGATCTGCCCCGAGAACTGACAGAGAAAGCCTTGCCCCGGAGCTGGCGCCCTGAATTCAGACTTCTAGCCTCCTAGGCTGTGAGAGAGTAAATCTCTGTTTGTTAAAGCCATTCACTTGTGGTATTTCTGTTATAGCAGCACTGGATAACTAAGACACGTGCTTATTTAAAAAAAAAACAACAACTCTGGAGTACTGAAAAGACTTGGAGTCAGAACACTTGGGTTTACACCTAAGCTCCCTTCCTGTCACTCATTGTATTAAGCCCCTTCTTCTCTCTGAGCCTCAGTTTACCTACATATAAATTGGAGATAGTGATTCCTGTCCTGCTTCCCTCACAGGGCTAGTGGAAGTGATGAGGGAGGCCCAGGTTCAAATTCCAGCTGGGTCATAAACTCTTTGGATGACTACTCTCTGGGCCCCAGTTTCCTCAAGTGCCCTTGAAGGGAAATTCCCACCAAAGAAGAATGAACCTCCAGAAGAAGGCACTGGGAGTGGTAGTGAGCACCTCACCACTGGAGGCATTCAAGTAGGGGTGGATTGCTCTTCCAGGGTTGCAGAGGGGAACCTCGTAGATTCCCTGGGCAGACCCTGCCCTCTGGCCACTGCTTGGCCACCGTCCCCAGCCCAGCCCATGCCCAGACCCCTACCTGGGCTCAGTTCATCCGAACAGTCCCCGCAACTGTTGATCCCGTCACACCTTTGGTCTGAGTAAATCCAGAAGGTAGGGTCTCCACAGTGGGCCACAAGGAAACTGGGGAGGCTCTGGGGCACATCTCCTACATAGGGACAGATGAGGCAGGGGGAAGTCCACAACTGGCCACAGCTGTCTCAGGGCTATCTGGAGGTGGATAATCCTGACTACCCTTGCAGTCAGGATGGGCACAAGGAGAATGTTTCCTGGGGGAAGAGGTCAAGTCGAGGGGAGAGAAGTGTTCTTTCCCTGTGCACCCACTGTGTACAACAAGTAGCCCAGGGAGTCGCCTCCCCCTTCCTCTTCCCTTCCCAGCTCTTGTGCATTCCCACCCCACACCACAGTATGTGCTACTCTTCCCTCCAGACATGTCTTCCTTGACACCTTTAAGTCCAAGAAGCCTCCTCCAACTGAAACATAGTAAGAATAAATGTAAAATCTTGCATTTGGGCCCCGGAACTCAGGGGCTCTGGGTTCACACACCTTGTGAGAGGGAGTCAGAGGACCCTCCTTGAAAGCAGGTTCTATGGTAGGAGCAGTGTGACAGGGTCACTAAAAACTCTGACACAAACTCAGGCCATATCACTAGAGGTATAAAACCCAGACCAGGGAAGGGACAGGCCTTTGTTCCTTGGACTGTCCAGACCCAGCCAGAATTGTCCTGGATGCCTCTGGGGCCTGTCCAGGGAGAGGGACATGGCGGTTGCTGTGTGTTCTGGGGAGCACTGGTGGAGTGGAGGACCCAAAACGGGATCACAAGGGGAATGGCTGTGACCGGGAGAAGGGACAGCTCATGGAGGGGCAAGACAGCATACAGAGCCACCAACATGGGAGATGGATTAAAACATGGTCTGTAGGGGGAGAGGGCTGATGAGAGGCAGAGCTGAGACAAGTCAGAGGTGTTACTGGGAGGCAGCTCCAAACTCAATACGAAAAGATATTCCCACAGATAAACCAGCCAGTGATGGAAGAAGTGCTTCGTCTTGTGGTCAGCTCTAGTCTCGGGGTCCATGATGCGAAGACCTTCTCTTCACCAGTTCCCCTCGCCCACTTACCACACTCTCTCCCTCCTGTGGGTCCAGGCACTGATTTATGCTGTTACTTATTCCGTGTAGCCATGTCTCCTTTCCCCTGAGAACTGTCCTGTCTCTGAGGTCTGGAGCCAGGTCTCCCCATTCATTTCCTCATTCATTTAGCAAACTATTCTGGAGACCCCCTCACTCTGTGCCAGGCCCTATTCCAGGCACTAGGACCCCGAGATCAATCAGACCAAGCCTGCCCCAGAGAAGCTCATCCTGATGGGAATGATAGACATGCCAATTGAGCATGACAACCAGTGTGACCAGGCTGGGACTGAAGGAAATACAGGGGCCGTGAGAGCCCAGAGGAGGGTGCTTCACCTAGTCTGGGAGTGGGGGAGAGCTTCCTGGAGAGGTAATGCTTGAACTCTGCCTTGAAGGATGCACACAGGTTCTCTGGGCTTGGAGATGCACAGCAGGAAGGCGTTCCCTAGCGTGGGCACGTATGTGTGTGTGACTGGGACCAGGTGGCGGCTGGCGTTCCTGGATAAGGGCACCGTTTAAGCAAAGGCATGGGGACATGAAGGTGCCCAGTATGCTCAGGGACGGTCAAGGTTTGGTATGGCTGCAGGAGAGTAGGAGTCAGGGGGTAGCCCCCAAGGGACAGGACTGAGCAGGTACTCACGGCACAGGCCCTCATCCTCGTCCTCACCATGGGCACAGGTGCGGAAGCTGTCACAGACCCCACTGGCCGGGATGCAGGTCCTCTGGTCATGGCATAGGAAGCCCGTCCTGTTAGCAGGTGTCACACAGGCCTGGGCCCCTGTCATGGATTGAATTATGTCCCCCCAAAATATCTGTCAACTTGGCTAGGTCATGATTCCCAGTATTGTATTTTATCATCTGATGTGATTTCCCTATATATTGTAAACTCTATCACTATGATGTAATAAAATAGATTAGTGGCAATTATATTGATGAGGTCTACAAGATTAGGTAGTGTCTTAAACCAATCTCTTTTGAGACATAAAAGGGAGAAGTGAGAAGAGAGACATGGGGTCCTCATACCCCCAAGAAAGCAGAGCCGGGAGCAGAGTGCATCCTTTGGACCTGAGGTTCCTGCACTGAGATGCTCCCAGACCAAGGGAAGACTGATGACAAGGACCTTCCTCCAGAGCTGACAGAGAGAGAAAGCCTTCTCCTGGAGCTGACGCCCTGAATTTGGACTTGTAGCCTACTAGACTGTGAGAGAATAAATTTCTCTTTGTTAAAGCCATTCACTTGTGGTATTTCTCTTACAGCAGCACTAGATGACTAAGACAGCCCCTGAATGGGCAGGGCGGAAGCCCCCGAGGGTCAAGGGTGGTGCTCACAAGGGCATCACTTGTTGGGGGGGTGCTACCATCAAACCTGCTCAAGTTCCCTCACCTGAGCCCCAACCTGAGCCGACCTGAGGCAACAGAGATGGGGTTTAAGCCCCATTCTACCACGTGACTTTGGCCAGATGACCTGACCTCTCTGAGCCTCAGGTTCTTGTCTATAAAGTAGGGATCATGGCAATACCCCACAGGACTGTTGGGGGATTAAATAAAAGCTTCTCTGTGAATAACTCTAGAACACAGAATATGCAGAATAAGTAATGGTGCCCTCTTTTATTTAAAACGTACTTCCAGTTTCAGAGGAAATTTCTGGGATGCTGTTCGAGTTAATGAGTGGTTTTAATGGGGGAACCCCTGGCACCAGGTGGGTTCTCAGAAGCAGTACGTTCGGACTGGCTGGGGATGTTATGTCAGAATCCCTTACAGCTGGGCACAACTGTACAGGATGCCAGGCACTGTCCTACTTTTATTCTATTGTTTCCTCAATAACGCTGTGAAGTGTCACCATTAGCCCCATTTTATAGACGAGAAAGTAAAGCTCGGAGAGCTGCGACAGGCACGGGCCTGCTGACTCTGCTCCTTCCCGAGGTCGGGTTGCCTCCCCAGTGTCCAGGAATGGTGGCAGCCCCCTGAAGCTGGAAGTCCTTCTGGAAGTCTCCCTTCCATCCCAGTGAGTTATGGAGGGACACCCTACCCCTAGTTCTGACCCAAAGAATTAGAGGAGAGAAACAGGTGGACAGGGTGGGAGATCACCCTGGCTCTATAGGTCAGGACTGCTATACACGTGTGCCTGCAGGTTGGTGATGGGAGCGAATTTTTGTGCAGGTGTGTTCATACACCCGTGAACCACATCTCAGCTCCTGGCACTAACTCAGCTAGTGTGAGGGCCAGCTCTCAGAGACGCTCACGTTGTCACGCAGACGTACACACACTGACACACACATGCTCACACAGCATGTGCGCATACATGCACATGGCCACACACGGATACACGACACGCACAGTGACACAGGCACACACACTCACACAGACATGTACCTCACACACAGGCACATACACAGAGACATCTGTGCACACATGTACACACAAGTACACGCTCACAGACACACATAAACACAGATTCACACAGGCACACGAATGCAAATCCTCACGTAGTCACATCCACCCTCAGTGCCAGGCTTCTGCCCAGGCATGCAGAGTACTGTGAATTTGACCCCCTCCTCCCACCTTGCCCCCTTCCACTCTCTGCCTGGCTACAGTGCCATCTCTCAGAAAGGTCTATCTGGTGACACTCCACCCTGAGCTTATCTCCCTTCCCAAGCTCTTCAGATCATGGTCTCCCTGCCTTTTAGGCCCTGGGCACCTGGCCCCACCCTCCTCTCCAGGCCTTTCCGTCTACTGGCCTTCTTGCAGCCCCTCTGTTTTCTCATGCTCCTTCCCACTTATGGGACTCCACACATGCTGTTCCCGCTGCCTGGGATGCTCTTCCTGCCAACCCCTCCCCTAGCTAAACCCCACTCTCCCTTCAGGACTGGGTCAGAGCTCTTGTTCCAGACTCTCAGAGCCCCATGAGCCCTGCCTTTAGTGTGTATTTGATTAACGTCTGTCTTGCTTTCCAAACTGTTAGCTCCATGAGGTCAGGGACCATGTTGGGGTTGTTCACCACTGAAACCTGGGGCTGTTCCTCACTGCAGCCAGGGCCGCAAGGATGAATTAACACATCCCTGTCCTCTATGCTAGGAAACCCTGGTGACGCAGTGGTTAAGAGCTATAGCTGCTAACCAAAAGGTCAGCAGTTTGAATCCACCAGGTGCTCCTTGGAAACCCTATGGGGCAGTTCTACTCTGTCCTATAGGGTCACTATGAGTCGGAATCAACTTGACGGCGATGGGTTTGGTTTGGTTTTGTCCTGTATGCTAGAGATAGACACACCACCCAGGGTGGCCAGGCTGTGGGAAGAGGTGTAGGGGCTGTGGGGACCAAGATGAAGCTCCTAACCCAGCATGGGGGTCAGGGAAGGCTTCCTGGAGGAGGTGACATCAGAGCTGGGTCCTAAAGCATGACCAGGACTCTCTCAATAACTCATTTCACAAATGTGCAAACGGAGGTTCAGAAATAGCATGTGTACAAGTGTCTGTGAATGAATGTCAAGGAATTGTCCAAAATTTGCTCAGTGGAGAAGCTAGGTGGGTCGGGTTCCCCCATCTCTCTGTTCCCCCTCCCCCCGCCCTCTCCCCATCAGGTCTGGCCCACCTTCCCTTAACCACCCTGACCTGGTGTGTCTAGTGGGAGTCCATAGATGGCCACTAGGGTGATGAGGGCCGCAAGAGTTGCCAGCAGGAGCAGTACGGAGGCCGAGAGGCAGGGCCCGCGGCGCGAGCAGCAGAGGGAGCCGCAGCCTGCTGTGTGGGGAGGGAAACATGCCTGCTGGGAAGTGATGAGATGGCCACAGCGCTGGGGCCCAGGGCTGCCCACCAGGCCCATCGCCACCCTGCAAGAGGCTCCTTACCTGTCAGGGTGGGCTGGGGGCAGGGAGGGCATCCCTGGAGGAGGAGGCTCCTAGGCCCTCCATGATGCTCTTCAGTTCTACACATGAGCCCACCCCCCACCAAATGCTCACCCCGGCCAGGTCCCTCAACTGGTGCATGCAGAGTCGGATAAGGGTCTCAGGCCTCTGCTCCACAGCCTTCCTGTCCCTCCAGGAGGAAACTGCCACCTCAGAAGGCAGGAAGAGATGGGCACCTGCTTGTGGAGCCCTACCATGGAGCAGAAACCGCATCAGGCCCCTGATAGGTGCTATTTTATTTTTCAAAACAACTCTTTACTTTATTCGTGAGGAAGCTGAGACTCAGAAAAATGACTTGGCTCCAGGTAATCCAGTGCAGAGCTGGGATGCCAGTCCATGTCTGCTTGACACCAGAACCCTTGTCCTTTCCAAGATTCCAACTGATGAGCCATTCCAGAGCTGCCTCCCTGACGCGTCAGATCCCGTACCTGTACACTGGCAGCTCACAGGGCCAAGTGTTAAGTGTAATGCCTATTCTAGATATTTCATATCAAGAATAAGCAAATGCATAGAGGTCAAAGTTTATTAAGTGGTTACCAGGGCTAAGTGGGAGGGGGAAATGGGAATTACTGCTTAAACGGTACTGAGTTTGTGTTAAAGGTGATGGAAATAATTTGGAAATGGATAGTGGTGATGGTTGCACAACAGGATGAATGTAATTAACGTCACTGAATTGTACATGTAAAAATGGTTGAAATGGCAAATGTTTTGTTATAGATGTTGTTGTTGTTAGGTGCTGTTGAGTCAATTTTGACTCATAGTGACCCCATGTGACAGAGTAGAACTGCCCCATAGGGTTTTCTGGGCTGTAATCTTTCCAGGAGCAGATTGCCTGGTCTTTCTCCCGTGTTGCCAGTGGGTGGGTACAAACTGCCAACCTTTCAGTCAGCAGCCAAGTGCTTAACTGTTGCACCACTATTTTACCACAATAAAATAATAATAAAAGTAAAAACAACACAGGCAGAACGAATCTAGACTGTTGGACGTCAGGATAACGGCCGCCCTTGGCAGTGACTGGAAAGGGGCTACAGGGGAGACTTCTGCGGGCTGGTGATATTCAGTTTAACGCCTGTGGGTGGCTGTGGGTGTTGCATGCTGTTGAGTCGATTCCAACTCATAGCGACCCTATGGGACAGAGTAGAACTGCCCCATAGGGTTTCCTAGGCTGTAATCTTTATGGGAGAGATCAGCAGGTCTTTTCTCCCTCGAAGCTGCTGGTGGGTTCAAACCGCTGGCCTTTCAGTGAACAGCCAAGCACTTAACCATTGCACCACGAGGGATCTTTTCTCATTGGCTCCATGGGTGTATTCAGTTTGTGAAAATACATCAAACTGTACCCTTATGACTTGTGCCCTTTTCAGTATGATGTTGCACTTAAAGTAAAAGTTTCCATTAAACTAAAATAAAAGAACAAGAAAGCACGGGCAGGGTGCTGGGGGTGCTTGATGGAGGGGTCTCGGAAGCATGGGTGGGATTTCCACAGGCAGGTGAGGGGAGGGTGCCAGGAGAGGGTGGCCCGAGCAGAGGCACAGCAGGAGGAAAGGCCTGGTGGATGGCGTGTGGAGACAGCCGGTGGCCTGGCGATGGAGCCTGGGATGGGTGTGGAGACAATAGTGGGAGTTCAGCACAAATCTAAGACCGATCACCACCCCGCCCCACGGCCCTAGTCGGTGGTGTCCTTGTTGTCAGCAAACACAGGGCAAACTCAGGTAACCAGGGAGATGGCGGGAAGCCAGGCCAGGAGAGGCGTCCTGGTCAGTCAAGCAGCTGCTCCTCAAATATTTGTGCAGCACAGGCCGTGTGCAAGGTGGGATCACAGGAGAGACTCTGGGGTGTGTCGACAGAATTGAGGTTCACACCCAGATGAAGATGCTGCACTTCAAAGCCGGAAAGGCTCTTAGGTGCCAATCCCCTCCCTGGGCAGATGGGGAAAAGGAGGCCCATTTGTTCCACAGCCACCCCACCATCAGCCAGAACTTGGAAATAAACAAACACCAGCGTGGAGCAATGGAAGGCACTGGGGCTTTGCAACCAGTCAGGCCCCGGTCCAGATTGGAAGCCTGCCTTTCCCTCTTCTCAGCTGTGTGACCTTGGCCATGTTGCCCAACCTCTCTGAGCCTCAGCTCCCCATAACAGAGCCCTCCTCTTAGAGTTGCCTGTATTCAGAGACCCATACAGAGCCAGGTACATAGTAGGAACTCAGTCCTTTACCTCTTCTTTATTACTGTTATCTACCTCTCTGGATCTGTTTCCTCATTGATCAAATCTGGGCCAAGACAGGGCACACAATAAGATGCTCCATAAATGGTGTTCTTTCCTTCCTGCATTCCATAAAGGTAAAGAGAACTGTCCTGGTCTCACAGTGAGTCAGTGGCACATAATAGGTGCTCAATAAGTGTGTGATCCCTCCTCACTTTATCCCTCAGAGGTGAAAAGAATTGCCCAGGTTGCCCACTGAATCAGGGATTTGACTCCAGAGCTCTTTCCTCTGTACCACAGGTGGGCACTGCATGTGGTGCAGTGCCTGTGAGGTAGGCAGCACACAGTAGGTGCTCAATAAACGTTTGTGCATGGAGAGACTGAACAACCCTGTTAAGCAAGTGGCTGTCTGCACCGACAGCCAGGAAGCTGTGCGCCAACATCTACATGGGGGGTAGAGGTCTGAGGGACAGAGGGAGTTTCGAGGGAACCCTCTTTGTTCCTCCATAGCCAGCTGCCCAGCCCAGGGGAGCCCCACCTGGGGGGCCCCTCAGGGCACCAACCCAGGCCCTCCTGTCCATTACCTTTCCCTCCAGGGAGAGATTTGATTTCAGTAGCAACGTTGCCATTGACAGCTCCCTGCCCGAGAGAACAGAGTGAGGGGTGGGCTTAGCACAGAAAGATCGTGGACATTTTTAGAAGGGAAGACTAAGGCCCAGGGAAGAAAATTCTCTTGGTGCTGGTCACTGAGGGCCTTAGGTGGAACCACTGCCCCCTCTCACTCCAGCACACTGAACTCCCAAGCTCATCATGCCTCTTCATACTTGCACACCTTTGCCTATACTGCGTCCTCTGACGATCCTCGAAACCAGCTCAGGCACTACTGCTTGGTGAGGCTTTCCCTGATGCCCCCACCCATAATGTCAGTCCCTCCTCCCCTGGGCCCTGTCCTCCTCCCAGCCCTTGCCCCCTGAGCTGGATAGCTGCTTCATCTGTTGGGTCTGCCTATAGCCTGAGAGTGAGCCCACAGGGCAGGGTGGGGGCTGTTTGCATCTGCGACTCTGAGCAGGCACAGTCTTAACGCTTCCTTGCTTCACGGCCTGCTCCTCACCCCAGGGTTTGGAGTCGTCTCAGGACAGATCTTACCTGGGGGAAGATCTTGTTCATGTCTCTGGCTCCCAGCTCCAGTCTCAGGAATCAGGTACAGGTGCAGTGGACTCAGCACAGGTTCTCTGCTTTGTCACCAGGGGCGGCCTGGGGGAGGGAGGACGGGAGGTGTCACCCTGGGCTGCACCCTCCCTGTGGCTGTGCTGCAGTCCCTCCCAGCCCAAGGCAACAGCTCTGCCCCTGCCTCCCAGCACAGGAAAGGGCAGGAGGGCCTCCTGACAGCTACCTGAGGTTGGACTCTTCAGCCTCACTTTATAGATGAAGAGCCTGAGCTTCAGAGAGGGAGAAACTGCCCTAAGTCACCCAGTAGGTGGGAGGGATGAGAGTTGAACCCAGGAACTTTTCAGAATGTGCTTTTGCCTCCCTGTCAGTGATGAGACTGGAGGATCTCAGGCCTCAGCTGCATCAAGACCCAGAAGAAACACCAGAGTTAACATGTCCACTTGACTAAAAACCAGGACTCACTTTTTCACTGATGTTCTGTTCAATTAAGTAGGTAATCTAGGTTGAAAGAATATCCATTTTTCCACTGGACTCAATAAAGCACATATAATTTTAAACTATTTTCCTTTAAAAAGTGGCAATGGGCATTTTAATTTTTCCTGAGCTAGTGCCTGAGGCTGGGGAAGGGTGGGAGGGCAGTTTACTTACCACTATAACCCCTTCTCCCCAAAGAGTGGCGGATGGTTTCCTCAGAGCTTCATCCCACCACTGAAGATGACACCAAGGTCCTAGGAGCTTAAAAGACTGTCCAAGGATCTGGGGACCAAGGGAGAAGGTGGAGGTGTCCACCTCCAGGTGTCCACCTCAGGGCTCCAGGGAGGGGTCCCTCTGCGACCTGCCTCCAGTGCCCAGGGAATTTCTAACCTGTGACCAGCCTTCTCTTTTGCACTGGGAAATAAAATACCAGATCACTGGTGGCAGTGGCAGGGGTAGGTAGATGCAGAGGCAGCCCTGGGGAAGCATGGAGTAACACTGGGAAGAGCTGAACCCTGGGTCAAGAGAACAGGGTTCTCATTAGGGCTCTGCCACTGGCTCTGGCTTGAGCAAATCACTCCCTGTTCTGAGCCTCAGTCTCTCATCCCTAAAATGAAGGGGTTAGACTAGATGGAGGGGGTATCTTAGTTTGGAATTCCCCAGAATCAAACCCTAACAAGATTCAAGGGCAAGTAGGTTTAATTGGGTGGCAGTGATCCCAGGAAACACAGGTCAGGAATGAGGGAAGTGAGACAGTGGAATGAAGAATCCAATAATGGGTGTGTTATCAAGCATGTTCCCAGTGTGGTCAAGTGTTGTTTAATCCTGCTAAGGATTTCATGGAGCCAGGAGAGAACGTTATTTGCCAGCCACTGCCAGTCACTGGTTGAAACCACTGGAGGATGTTAATTCCCTGGTACCACAGACCCGCCCCAGGCAAAGAAATGCCAGCGTTGACAGTTGGAAACTAGGCTGTGTGCCCTGAAACAGAAAGGACCAAGGGATATGGGCAGGACACCCATGGCATCTGCTACAGATGCTAAATAGATTTCATCTTGCATGCCAACTGCAATTAATAGGTAGAGGCTGTAAGTCTCCTAGGTGGCAACAAATGGTTTGTGCTCAACTACTAACCTAAAGGTTGGCAGTTCGAACCCACCCAGTGGCACTGTGGAAGAAATGCCTGGCAATCTGCTTCTGTAAAGATCACAGCCAAGAAAATCCAATGGAGCATTTCTACACTGTAACACACGGGGTTGCCATGAGTCAGGATTGACTTGATGGCAACAGGTTTGGGTTTTTTTTGTCTGGAACATGGGGTTTAGAGCATTCTGAGGTCAGGACTGGGCTTAGAGGAAAGTGTGATCGATTAGTGATGTCTGCCAGAGGTGTAAATGTGGAGAGTGGAATCCTACATGATGATCATTTGCCATTTTCCTAGACCAATTCATGCCCTTCAGGCCTTCCTTGACCGTGATTCTTTAGTGTTCCTTTATAAGAAGAAGGGATCTTAGGCTCAGTGAGCACAATCACTTCATTTTGCAGAGGGGAACAAAGGTCCAGACAGGGGAGGGGACTTGCCCAAGATCATACAGCAGGAGGTGCTTGAGTCCAGCCAGCACTCCTTCCTCTGCAGCAGGTGGCCTCAGGCCCATGACACGTGCAGCCTTGATTCTTCATCTCTACCAGACATCGCCAAACTGCGCTCCAGGAGGTTGTATGTGGGAGTTCCTGTCTCCCCACAGCCTCATCGGCCCTAATGGCTTTCTGACACCTGCCAGTCTGGTAGGAGTGAAATATCTCAATGTGGCTTAACTTGCATTTCTCTAGTTATTCCTACAACTACCACCAATTGCTAACATTTGAGCATATTTTGCCACATGCAAAAACCTGCAACATACTTTACATGTATTAATCCATTTCATCCTTCCATAGGATATGGGGATTGTTCTTATTTCCATTTTACAGATGAGGAAACGGAGACAGAGAGAAGCTAAGTAAAAGTTACTTGTCCAAGATTCGTAGCTGATAAGTGGCAGAGGAAACATTCAGACCCAGGCTGGCTGAAAAGTCTAAAACTCTTATCCCTTATGTATTCCCTTGCTACTTAAAAGGGTGGTCCGTGAACCAGCAAGATCTGCATCACCTGGGAATTTGTTAGAAACGCAGAATCTTGGCTCTCACCCCAGACCTACTGAATCACAATCTCTATCTTAACAAGATCCCCAGGAGATTCGAATGCACACTAAATTTTGAGAATCCTGGTCCCACACTATGCTGTTAGGCTGCCTTTTATTTATTGGTCATATGGATTTCCTCCCAGGTGAATTGCTTTTTCATTTGTTGCCCATTTTTCTATGGGTGGTTTATCTTTTTCTTACTGATTTATGGATTTCTTTATTTAGGCTAGATTTTAACCCTTTGTTACATGGTTTGTCACCAGTTTAGGGTGACTTCTGCTGGCTCCCTCTTCCTTTCCAAATCCATCCATCTTTCTTGCCCAGGACCAGGTAGATAACTCACTCCCTTCATGAAGCTTTGACTCTCTCTCCTCCCCTGGATTTACCTTTCCCCATATTCCTTATAGGACTCCCTAGGTGGCACAAATGGTTAAGGGCTCAACTACTAGCCAAAAGGTTAGCGGTTTGAACCCATCCAGAAGTGCCTTGGAAGCCAGCCCTGGTGATCTGCTTCTTCTGAAAGGTCACAGCCTTGAAAACCCTGTGAAGCAGTTCTACTCTACACATATGGGGTCACATGAGTTGGAAACGACTTTATGGCAACCAACAATAACAACAACAAATATTCCTTAAGTCTGTGCCCCCGACTTACCCTGGTGTGGCTAGGGGAGACGAACTACACCGGAGATCAGCAAGCCCCAGCTTGAGTCAGACAGACAAGGGCTTTCATCCTGACTCTGCCCGATTTGTGACCGTCTAATTCAAGATAGCAAGTGACACTCTCACTAAGCCTGCTTCCTCATCTGAAGAACGGGGATAAGAATCCCTACCTCCCACAGTCATGATGAGGATGAAGTGAAGTCACATAGTGAAAGCGCTCTGCACCCTTTGAGGGTGCAATATTGTATCTGGGTGCCTTCATCTGCTTCCAGTCACAGAGAGATCTTCTTGAGGGCTGGGCCTTCTTACTCCAGGGCCCAGACTTGGGCTGCAGTGCTAAAAACCAAACCAAACCAATTGCTGTAGTGTCTATTCTGATTCATGGTGACCCCATGTGTTTCAGAGTAGAACTGTGCTCCACAGGGTTTTCAATGGTTGTGATCTTTTGCAAGTACAGGTAGTCCCGGACTTAGAACAGGGCACCACTTTGATGACTTTGTTGTAAGTCGGTTCTAACGTAAGTCGAATACCTCTTTTCTTTATAGTTTTCATGGTTATTGCCTTTTATTGTCAGTATCTTTATAAATCTGATCTTTATTTGCTGGCAAATGAACATCTGAGAATGATAACATCAACACATTATGTGCTGCAACATTGTATGTAGTACATATTACTAAGGATAAGATGAAAAAAAAAAAAGGCACGGTCTTAAGTGCAGTTTGTCCTACCTCGAATACCAGACCAGTCTCCAACTTAGGATGTATTTGAGGTATGGCAAATTGCACTTACAATCGCCTGGTTTTTTTCCTGTACATTTTATTGTTAGTAATATGTACTAAATATGATGTTGCAGTGCTTGATTTGCTGATGTCATCATATCTATAAATTTATATGTAATGTTTGCAACCTCCAAAGACAAATAAAGATTGTACTTATAAAGATATTGATAACAAAAGGCAATAATAATGAAAACTTAAAAAAAAAAAAAGAGGTATTCAACTTACTTCACAACGGACTTACAACTTGGAATGGAACCCGACGTAAGTCAAGGACTACCTGTACATCACCAGGCTTTTCTTCTGAGGTGCTTCTGGGTGGATTTCAACCACCAATCTTTCGGTTGGGAGACGAGCGCTTACATGTTTGCACCACCCAGGGACTCCTGGACGATGGCAAGTGGACAAGAAAATAGATTGACCCTGGGACTGAGAGAATCACTTCTAGACCTGCCAAGAGGTGAGGCCCAGTCACTCCTCCCCTGTAACCTCCACAGCCCTGGCAGCCTTGCTGGCTGCTTCTCTCTGAGACTCTGTTTCTTCAACTATAAAATGGAGGTGTTAAAGCCTATCCTGATTTCCTAGAGGGATATCATAAGTATCATTTAAGGTGATTTTTGAGAGGGCTATAACCGGCTTTGCAAATGTCATGGGGGAAATCAATAAACAAACTCCATCCTGAATGATCTAAGTAGATACTTTTACAAGACAGCATTATAATATTGTTTAATGCAGATGATCTAAATTTTATTGAAGTTTACCATACTTAAGCATTACAAAATTAACAGATTTAGGTTCCAATAATGACTGCATGGTAGTATATTTCAAGGTAACATTATCAAGAGCTTTTGTTGAAACCTCTTATTTCTAATCAGTTGTTGATTTCTTTCCACCCAAGCCTTCAATT